TCTCCTGGACCTCGGGCCATCCCGACGGCAGCTGCAGAGGAGAGGGTACTAATACTAATCGGTCCGTCACTCCTGCGCTCGCCTTCCGACTTCAACTGCTCGTTCCCTATACCCCCTCGCCCTCATGCTCCACCGTCCATGTCCATCGCGGTCTTTATCGAACCTCCCGACTGCACCCAACCCCACCCAGCCCAGTGGGCCCATCCCAAAGTAGAAGAACACTCTCAACAAACTCGGCTCAACATTCATTTGGTAAACATGCATTTCACCCAAAAGCAAGTCAGACGCGTACGTGCAAGAGGTTGTCGTCGGCATTTGGCAATAAAATTGTCGGTCAACGAGGAGATCGCGCAGGATGAGCAGGCAGAGCGAAACTTCACTGAAGACTGTGGGGGGGAGGAATATGCGAGGGAAGCAGCAACACCCGACCTGCTGCGTGGCCTTCTCGGCCTCCTGCATCACCTTCTCGGCCTTGAGGGCGGTGGAGCAAGAAGACACGGAAACGAGCCGATTGTTTCGTTGGGATGGTTTGAAATTGTGAGTTCTCAGAATGTTTCTTCGCCAACTTGGGAACAACATACTCAGACTGGTCCTATCTAGACGAAGTGCAAATATAAAGCAGAAGGGACGTGCCGACATGGGATCGGGGACGCAATGCGAGCACGCCCAGAGGGGCGGTAGGTGAAGCTCCCTCTCGGCCACGAAACGTGTGAGGAGTGTTCCGAAATGGGCGCGGGACGCCATGAGGGCACACCCACCGAGAGCATAGGTGGAACTCCCTCTGAGCCACGAAACGACTGCGGCAGCTGCGGCCACGCGGCTACGGCTGCGCGGCTGCGGCTGCGCCGGCTGCGCGGCTGCGCGGCAGCGGCTCCGGCTGCCCGGCTGCCCGGCTGCCCGGCTGCGCGGCTGCGGCTGCGCGGCTGCGGTTGCGTGGCTGCGGCTCACGGCTGCGACTGCAGCGCAGCGCGCGGCTGCGCGGCTGCGGCTGCGCGGCTGCCGCGCGGCTGCTGTGCGGTTGCTCGGCTGCGGGATGCTCGGCTGCGGGTTGCTCGGCTGCGGCTGCGCGGCTGCGGCTTCGCGGCTGCGGTTACGCGGCTGCGGCTGCGCGGTTGCGGCTGCCCGGCTGCGGCTGCGCGGCTGCGGCTGCGCGGTGAAGGGTATGCCGAAATCGGCGCGGGGACACCATGTGGGCACGCCCACAGGAGCCGTAGGCGGAACTCCCTGCTGGGCACGAAACGTGTGAAGGGTGTACCGACATGTGGCCCAGGAGCGCCACGCGAGCACACCCATTGAAGGCATAGGTGGGGCGCTTTGTGGGCCACGAAACATGTGAGGGGTGTGCCGAAATGGGCGCGGGGACGCCATGCGAACACGCCCGAGGAATCCAAAGGTAAAGCTCCCTGCCAGGCACGAAACACGCGGGGAAATGAGCGCGGGCACGCCATGCGAGCAAGCTCACCGAAGCCCTAGGTGGAGGTCCCCAAAGTGGCAGGGGCCGCGTGAAAGGAGTGCCGAGAGAAGCGCAACAAAAGCAGCAGGAGGTAGGAGAAGGAAGAGGAGGAGGAGGAGGAGGAGGAGGAGGAGGAGGAGGGTGATGCTGATGATGGTGAATGACAACGATGATGACGATGATGAGGATGAGGATGGTGATGACGGTGTCGGTGACGATGGTGGTGGTGGTGATGATGATGCCGGCGATGATGTTGACGACGATGATGATGATGACGGTGGTGGCGGTGGTGGTGAGGATGACGGCGGCGTGTTTTTTACACATGTTGACAATATGTATAAACATGTGTGTAAATATAATACACACATGCACACCATCCATCGGAAACGTCCCAATCGGCGATCGCTTACTAGACGCAACATCGAATGTCCGATGAAGTTTTTTTCGTCGTGTCGGGGAGGGACGGGATAATTGACATCGCGACAGCAGCTAGGTCGTACAACGAGCAGAGGAAAGACGAGCGATACCAACTCGGACGGTAGCCCTGACAACATTGAGCAATACTCTTGTCATCAGGATCCAAGGCTTCCTCAATCTATTTGCGAGCCTGTGCTACCGCAGGACAAGAGGCAACAACACGCACCCGCGACGCAACAGCGATAATAGTCACTTCTTTCGCCTCAATACCCAAATATTTGAAAATAGTGACCATGTTGTAGGAGAAAGTGCCGGGGGGCACCCGTGAGATACTGGAGTTTTGCCTTATACTGCCGAAGAACGTGAGAGGTAATGGGAGACACTTGCACGCTGCATTGGACAACCGAAACTCACATCACCTGGAGAGCCGAAAGAGTCAGAGCAGTCCCAAGGCGGAACTGCCCCATCGTCCTGGACTGGGAACCGAATGTCTGCAGAGGGTCACGCCAACCAATATATTCAGCCTCCAAGCCTACATATGCATGGCAGTATATGGACTAAATCAAGCGAATTCAATCTCAGCCAACCCATTCGAATACTCCGAAGCACTACCCCGAGGGTACTCAACGTGGAGCTGCCCACAAACGAACGCATGACATTTCTTGAAATCCAGGAATGAACCCCATGCTGGGCCGACCAGGACAAGCACAGACCCAAGTCGTAGAAGAGCAGCGAAGAGATTGCACACGGCAAACAGACAGTCAGCGGCATGAGCAAGAGTGCGATGGAGGTGCCATACAAGACGAGATTGCAACCAGCGCAAGGCAGGGTGCAACCCAAGACAGAAAACACACATGCTATCCATGACCCCACCGTCGAACACCACGCCACATGGGAAAACGTCCCAACAGCTGGTCGCCCAGAAATAGAACCCCCCAGCTGCCGCGATACAGGAGCGAATTAAAACGCCAAGACATAACCAAGATATTCCATTCTCTCCAGAAGTTCGAGCACAAGATCAGAAGCGACGGGACGGCGGACATGAGAACTGCAAGCGTTCCTGAAGACTCATGCCCGAGAAGGTATCTATGACCCCCCTAGCTCCCAGAAGAGACACCGTTGGCCAGCACACTCCTCCCAAATATATAAGTCTGAGAAAAAACAGCCGTTGACTGCGACATCCGATACAGGGGCACACAGAAGACGCTGGACAGAAGCTTGACATCCGAGATCCCCATCGACAACGGGTCGGTCCCAGAGCAGTCACGAATGAAAACCGGGCCCCCATCATCATGTTCGGCGCCTTTCGGCAAACAACCCGGCATAGCGCGCGCGCAGCATCAGGCACGTCGCCAACGGTTCCCTCGCAGAGACCAAGTCACGCGTCAACGAGTATTCGGGGAAGACCACCAATCACCCAATACACAGAGAGCAATCCACCTCCCCCCAGGCATCGAGCAGGCGCGGGCCCGAAACACGTCAAGGAAATCCGCGTAATCACGGCTTCGGGAGAGAAAAAAAGGGCGCCCGAGACCTTCCGAGTGTGCCCCAGGATTTCGTTCCCGGGGGGCAGTAGCCGCATCGACTTGCCCTCATACAGACCCCAATATTGTTCCATGGCCGACGCAGAGGCCTCTTGCGATGCGCAGGGAGCACTGACACCAGAGTGCCAGGTGCGCCTCCGAAAACGTTTCCAGGCGCCCTGTTCCCCGCGCAACTTCCCCAGCGCCGTCTGCTTCGACTCCCCGCCGCGCTCGGACTTCTCAAGCGGGAACTCGTCAGACTCAAGCATGTGCGACTGAAACGATTGGATGCGCATGCAAAGGGCACCAGCACTGTCCAACCCAAGCGATACCACGTTGAAAAACATGCACCGGTGCTCATAACATTCCGACACACTGAAAATACGCCCGACCACAAAAAACGGCGCATCGCCCAGCGGAGCTTGCCGCACAAGGCAGCAGCAGGCAGGCAATAGAGCGCTGTCTGAGCACGTTTGCAAGTTGCGCGCGTGACCTGCATCGCACGGCAAAGAACTCGAAGAGGGCAACCAATGCCACGTTCCATGAGAATATCAGCCAGGGCTTGTGATAGCATCTGCTGGCACACGCTACGCCAAGCAATCGCAGCTCTCGATTGCCATCAGGACATGGATGCGGTCGGATCAGTGGGAATACTGCAAGCACTCTACAATTGATGCGCGCACAGAGAGATCGGCCAACTTAGCAGAAGGGATATCATTATAACTGCGGTCGGGTCCTGAGGTCTAAGAAGCCGCATTATCTCGAATCCCACGTCGAGCGATGGAGCCCCGGTGAAACCACACCAATAGCCACATTGAGTCCGGAACAAGTTTGAGCGAATTCCATAGCCTGGTCGGAAGCCGCCGCGACCTGCCACGGGCCGACCCTCCTTCTCCAACACAGAACTTGAACCCCCTATGACCACATTAAAGCTCACGGCGGCGCCTGGTAAGACTCCCAAAATACCGAGAAAATCAGAGGCGCATGTCGAGATGTGGTCACAAACGTTCGAGAGGCGTGCGTTCGCCATCGTTAGCACGCCGTGCTTACCCTCGCAGAACGAGACGAAAACTCTGCCAGATAGTACTGTAACATGCTCTATCGTCTCCACAAATGAAGCAAACGACGACGATATAGCAATGACAGCACCACCAACGCGCGCATAACCATCAAATAATGACCTATGCCGTATCCACGGAGGGCGCGCTGGAGATGGGAAAAACCCGCTACCTGACCGTGCGTTTCCTGAGCACACACAGCTGGACACTTCTGACAAAGGCGGCTGAACATAGCCCAGCGACTTGAAGCCGTCGCTTTTTTCAACGCCTTCACCGCGCCAAGTAAACCATGCGCATTCCAAGAGACAATCGACAGAGAGGGTGGGAACGAGAATGGCATACTGTTGGACCCACGCGTCACAACAGTATCTCGAGGCAGAGACGCGCCTCGACCGTCCGAGGCAGCGCGAGATTGAGACTGCACATGCATATGATCCGCGGCCTGCTCTTGCAGGCTCATGGCATTCACCATCTTCTCACAGCACCTCAGTCGGGTACGGATTTATCATCGAGGCGCCACATGCGGCAGCTGACGAGGTTGGGCGCGAGTGTCCACCCAGCCTGCTAATTTCCACGGGTGTGGGTAGTTTCCCATATCTCTCCACGGTCAGCGTCGCCGCACAGGTTGACCATGCCCTTGCAGCCATGGGCTCCAAGCATGGTCGCTTGCATGTGAAAGCTGGCCGAGTACAGCATCTCCCTGAGCATAGCGAAGCGGTGGCTGCAGGCGCGCTGACGAGCGCGGACGTCGAGCGGCATGTCCCTGCGGCTCTCGATCTGGCGGTGGGCGCTCGCCCCGGGGTTGAACCACTTCATGCCGTCGGGGCGGGTGGCAATCAGGTCCTGGTAGTGATTCACCTCGAGCTCGCTCTTGAACTCAAGGCTGCAGGGCCCTGGCGCGCGAGGGAAGTTCGGAGTGGTCGAGGCGGCCAGGCCCTGAGGTGGAAGACGAAGAACAGCGTGCTCAACGTGAAGACGGCGCTCACGAGCGAGAAGAGCCCGAGGAAAGGCGCCGATCCAACGACGTTTCTCGTTCGCCACCTCAGGCTGGGAGCCGTCCAACCTCCTCATACTGAAGCCAGCAGCCGAAGACCGGACCGAAGAATTCGTCGACGGGGCCGTGGAGGCGCAAGCCGGGCCCTTCTTGACCTGCTCGATCATGGATTCGACGCTCTTTATGTCGTCGTCAGCTTCGCCCGCCGCTGCGCTTTCCGACGAGAGCTGAATACCGCGATCACCATGGATGCGCTTAAGAGCGGCGACCTTCTTGTTGGTCGCCTCCTGCGCGATCTTCGTGATGGTCTCCAGGAATCTCACAGCCTGTGTCATATGTTATCGAAGTTGGTGGATGCTCGATGCCTGCTCCGTTCTCGGCCGGCTCGGTGGACTGCTTGTCGATCATCACCTGGGCGGGGGCCAGCAGGTTCTGGTCCTCCACGGACGGCGAGGCGCGGAGTGCGCTGGAGAGCTCCGCAAAATGCGGCAGCGCTTGTCGACGCCCTCGATGCTCTGCCTGAGCCAGAGCGCGGAGGATTCCCAAGTCTAATCCGGTCACCTCGCTACCTCGTAGCTCCCCCCCGTTTAGACTTGAGCCAGAACGACTACGGATGGGGATGGTGACGCTGATGACGATGAGGATGTGGGTGAGCGTGGCCAAGACGATGCTGAGAATGACGATGAACGCTGTTGATGATATACAGGTGACGGAAGTGTCAATGACGAGAATAAGCGATGGTGGGAATGATGCTGGCGGCGATAATGTCGACGCTGGTGATGACGATGAGGATGTGAAAATTGGCAGCGATAAAATGCTAAAAATAAACATGAGAATAACGAACATAATAATGTTGGTGGCGCTGATGATGGGGGACGATGATGCTGATGAGGCTAGTAATGGTGATGACGACGGTACTGATTGGTCATGGTACTGCTGATGACGATGAAGATGCGGTTCAAAAGGATGAAAATGATGCTGGCGATGAATTGTGTTACCGAGCGGACCCATGGGCATGACGATCTGGCGACGGCAATGAACCACGTCATTCAGCAATATACCAGCATGCACGCACCAGCCAAATCCAGATCCAGCGCGCGAGCTGCTGCATGGGCGGAGGAGAGCGGGGAGATAGGAACGGGAGAGGGAGAGGGAGAGCGAGAGGGAGAGGAAGAGAGAGAGAGAGAGAGCGAGAGAGCGAGAGAAAGTACGGTGAGAAACCCAGCCAACGACCATGCCCGAGGAGGCCCTCGCAGACCGCGGCCAAGGAAGAGCCGGGAAGGCACGGCAGTCCGAGCGCTTCCTCGGAAACCCACGGGGCGCAGGAGGCAACAAAAACAAGCAGAGGCCCAGCAAAACCGCGCGAACGACTCGTCGCCAGCGTCTTTGCCAGACAACCTGGAGGTGCCCACAGGCCGAAGAGCGACCGCAGAAAGTGAGCATTTTCTCAGGGTGGAGGGCTTAAGGTGAAATCCACATGGGCTGTTGCACCTCGAAAACCAATCCATCTTGTGATGCACCTCTTGCAGATTCAGGCTTCGAAAACCCATCGAAACGGCATTTCAATTTTTCACCCTTTGCCCTCCACCCAAAGAAACTGCTCGGAGAGTCCTGCCGACCCACATCGGCATGGAGAAGAAAAGCATTGGGGAAAAATCGCAAAAGGAAGCACGCGCGGCGGCGCCCCAGGGCCGCGGCGCAGAGGGGGCGAGGGTGCAGGCCAGCGCAGAGACGCAGAGGAGAGAAATAAGACAGGGCTGAACCTACACGGTGTTGTTTGTTTTCGTTTTGTTCTCGTCTTCCCTCGCTTTTGTCTCGAATACACCTTTACCGCAAAACGAAGCCGAAACGAAAACGGCCCACGAAATCACCAAAAACACCGTTTGGGTCCAGCCCTGAAAGAAGACGGAACGCACAGACAGAGAGCGACGTCCCCACGCCGCGACAACGCGCCGCCAGGGGCCGAGCCAAGCGAAGGACGCAACCAAACGCCACCACGCGCAGACAACGGCACCGGCACAGCGGAGAAGCAGCAGAGAGACGCGCAGGAGAGGGTGGACAGCAGCAGCAACGGCGGAGAAAACCAACGGCGGCGTGGGAGCAGACACAGGAGCACAAGGAGAACGAAGAAAACAAAAACGAGAGCCTCTGTGAGGCAAGCAATCCAGTAGACTGCATCGAAAACCTGCGGCGCGCAGGCGGAACGGAGACCACACGGCCGCTGTGGCATGATGCCCGAGATCTCATTGCGAGCGTCAGCCCAGCCGCTCGAGGATGATCGGCGGGCACCTCCTTCGGTGTCGCCGAATCGACGGCCGCGCCACAGACGATCAGACGAGGGAAGAGGCACCCGCAGACCCCTGGGATAGCAGGGATCAGTAGCAGCCTCTCAGCCGCGGCTCCCCGACCAGGCGGCCTGAACCACGGGGCGACGCTTACCGCGTCAACGAGTACGGGCTCTAACAGATCATCTGGGGCAGAGTGGGGCCCCCGAAAGCCAGCCTAAACGAAAAGGAAAGCATCTAGAATGCTGGCGCAAATCAGCCGGTGATTACGGCGCGGTAGAATGGAAACGAGAAAGAAACATCGGAACCAGGACTCTTCGCTAACTGGGCCAGACCAGGGGCGAGGGCTAAACTCAGACGTCGAAATTCAGGGCAGACCGCGCAATGTCCCAGAGAACCCACGGCGCCCCTCCGTAGCCATTTTGGCTCAAGCCATTTTGGCTCAAGCCGTGCTCGGGCGCGCGCCGCGCGCGGGCGCTTGGACAGAATGGTGCGGGAGGTGCTCACCGGTGTCGCGACGGCCCGCTGGGCGGCAGACAACCTGGTGAGACGGCTCGACAGGGAGCTGCGGGAGGCGAAGGAAGTCATCGCCAGCCTCCAGGCGCAGCTGGAGTGCGGATCGCGCGGCGACGCCGCGGAGGCGGAGGCCCTCCGCCGCGAAGCCATCGCGCGGCCCGCCTTGGTTGCGCGCGTCCGCGGACGCCGCGAAACCAGGGCGCAGCGGCAGCGGCGGAACGTCGCGTGGCATGCCGAGCGCTGCCCGTCGGCAGACGCCCCGCCGCAGGAATGGCGCAGGGCTCAACGCGGGCCGCGCCTCCCAGGAGGGCCCCTTCCTGGTGATGGGCGCGGCGGTGCGGCGCAGAGTGCCATCGTGTGTGAGGTGGAGACCTGCGTCTGCGAAGTGCAGCCGCCGATTGAGTGCGCATTGGATGCTTGCGTCGCCGAGGCACCAGCGCGGCTGCCCAGCGTCCGAGTGGCGGCCGCGAGGACCCCGCTGCGGTCTGGCGCCCAGCCGTACCTCCCCGAGTGGGCGCGCTGGGCCGCGCTGCTGGAGGAGCTCGGCGTGGCGCAGCTGGCCGAACAGGGCTGCGGCGAGGGCGGCGCCGAGAGCACCGAGGCGGAGGAGATCATCGCGGAGTTCGGCTGCGAGGACGAGGAGGATCGCGCTGCTGCGGCGCGTTGCTCGGCGCGGCGGCCGTGGCGGAGCGGAGACAGCCTAGAGGGGGACTCGGAGTTCGAGGGGGATTCTGAGTTCGAGGATCTCGGGTCCGAGCACGGGCAGTTCCTGCGTGACGAGTTCTCGGACGGCAGCGAGCTGGCCGCGGAGTACGAGCTGGCGCGCGCTGCCTGGCTGGAGTGCTCGGGCTCCAGGCGCGGTGGTGGAAGCGAGCCCGAGGAGGAGCACGGCACGCTAGCGCTCGCGGCCGACGGCTCCGAGGTAGGCCCCGAGGAGCTGCACGAGTCCGAGGGGAGCAACGTGGTGCCCGTGCCGTGCGGGCTGCACGGCGACAGGCGTGCCAGCGAGCCGAGAGGGGCCGATCCTGTCGGGCTGGGGCAGGAGGGCGAGAGGAGCAAGCGGGTATCCTTCGCTCCGTGGCCCGACGTCGTCGGCTTGGAGGTGGGGGCCCTGGGAGGCACGCTCGGTGTGTCTGGGATCCTTCTGCATGGCCCTGCCCCTCCGTGGTTGGACCCCGCGTGGACGTGCCATGCGAAGGCCGTCGACCTGATGCACCTTTGCGAGTGCGAGAGGTTCGGCATCTCCGTGAGGCCTCGTCGGCGACCCGCCTGGCGTGTGCGGTTCGCCGAAGGGCCCTGGCTGGTGCATGCCCATCCGCCAGGCATGTCCGTGGGGAGGGCCCTCGAGCTCGAGCTGCTCATTCGGGCGTGCAAACCGAGCGGCGTCGCGACGCTTGACGGAGGCTCGAAGCACCGCGCGAAGGAGACGCCGCGGCCGCCGTCCGTGGCCGTCGTGGAGGTGCCCGTGGGAGGCGCGGCCATCGAGCGCGCCGTCGGCGTGGAGCCGCCCCTGGTCGCAGACAGCGGCGACTGCACCGCGGGCGATGGCCACTCGAGCTCGGAGGGCGTGTTCGTTTCGTTCCTGGACGGCTTCTCGGTGGCGGCGGTGGCGTGTGCGGCCAAGGGGCCGAAGTCGGGAGTTGGGTCACTCCTGGACTTGGCCGAGGCCCGCGCCCTCGGCGTCCGCCTCGGAAGTGCAGGTTGTCCAGATGCCGAGGAACGTCTGCAGCTCCTCGATGATTCTTTGGTCCGTGCGCGTTGCACGACGCGGCCCAAGAGTGAAGAGTGAGGCGGGCAGTTGCATTCTGTATGTAGTTCTGCTCTCGCCTGTGGTGCCGCGCGGTGGTGGCCCAGTGCGGCCCCCGCGGCGAGAGGCGGCCCTAGGCGGCCCCTCTCGGGAGGGCGTGTCTCGGGTGGCGCTTGGTGCCCCTGGAGGCCCCTCGGTCCTTTTCTTTGCCTTTATGGCCCCACAACTACAACTACAACTACAACCCACGGCGCCCCCTACTCCACAGTCCCAGCCGCATCGAACAGGGCAACGATGAAAGCGAGCACCTGCAAAGACACCTCGAGCAAGAATGCCCAGATAAAAGCTGATATCTTCGACAACCTCACGGACTACCTCGACGACCGCTGAAACTCGAGAAACAGGCACCCCAGGAAACCAACGGGCGACACGCATCAGGAGACATCTGATAGGGGAAATAGGGGGGGCCGGGGGGCGCATCCCCAGACGACGACGCAGCCTCTTTTGGAACCCACTCGCCTGTAGAAAAGTCGGACAGACAGGAATTTTAGACCGCCGAGCCGCGCAAAGCGCAAAAGAGTGATGCCACCATGGAAAACGCACGCGGCCAGGGTGAAAGTCACCTTGTGTCACCAGGTCCCCGTGGCGAAGGCAAACCATCGAGAACGCAGCAGAGCGGCGCACAAGACAAACCTGAGTCGCAAGCGCAATACTGGCAAGGTTTGGAAACTCATATCCAGACCCAAGTCACAAAGCCGCGCACACATCATACGGTTAAGCGGAAAACGGGGACCCACCATCAGCTTCTGCTGCATAATACCTTCAAATATGACAACCTCCTTCGAGACGGGGGAGAAAAGCATCGCATGTCGGAGAAGAGGCGGCGAAAACCACGCGCGCGGATGGTCAGAGCACGCCCGGGACGAAGCCCCCAAATCTCGATGCAACGCTGCTGGCTCTTCCGTATGGCAGTGCTCCCGGCCGCAGTCCATCCATCAGGCCCGACCTGAACCCGCAGATACCTCGCACGAAGAACTGCTTGGAT